GGGGGGGGGGGGGGGGGGGGGGGGGGGGGGGGGGGGGGCGGTGGGAATGTCGATCAACGTGTTGAAGGACTGCAAATAGCGGGCCGGGAGAAACGGACACCTCGTCAGCTGTGCACGTGTTGAGACTCCTGACTGTCCTTCTCCGTCACACGATGCTCCAGCGAAGAGGGGTAGTGCTGGTGTAGTTTGGCCGCCTGGCTACGCTGTGCATGCCGCCCGCGTGACGGGCTTGCTTGCCGCACCATTGAGCCCGCCGTATTTCATCCTCCAGTGTGCCAAAACAAGCAGCAGGCGCGAACTGGAAACTTCGGAACAGACTATTCACTCTGGGGCAAATCTGTTTCTTGCTTCACTGTTGTCCTGAACACGTTCCACCTAACAAAGATCCCAAGCTTATCCTACCGCACTCATACTATCCAATCAAATTTAACCCAAACTACGGAAACCCTGTTCCTTTCTTCACCGTACCTCCTGAATGCGTTTTACCTGTAGCACAGATCCCACGCCATCGCTACCGCACTCCTAATACCCTGTCAACCTTAACCCGAACAAGGGCCCGAAGCAACAGGGCCGCCGAAGAAGGCTGGTTGGGGTGAGACCGCAGTGCCGGAAGCCGAAGAGTCGCTCGGTGGCCTCGCGAGTCTCGTGTCTACCACGTCATCCCTGCCGAGCTTTGCGGCGGCATCGCAGATGGAAGAGGAAGACGAGGAGGAAATCAAGAGAAGCCTTCGAGAGATGCAGGACGAGAAGAAGGTGCGTCGGCGGCGGCGGGTAATAGTGCGATCCTCGGGGTTATTCCGATTGGGAGCACCGACGATGAGAAGCCAAAACAAATTAGCCGCTTTGAATCCAGGTAGTTCTGAAACGATGTGTGGTGTGCCGTAAACTGTTGCATTCATCGAACCTTCTCCACACGACGAATGTTCTACGGAGAAACTGCTCGTGTTGGAACAGTGAGGCCGACCGGAGGAGACGGTTCAAGGTGTTTGCCTTGTTGTACAACGGTGGTTCCCCTGAGGGAGAGACGGATGCAGGTAGCAAGTCAGCGTTGACGGTTTTGACATGATTGCCGGTCCGGTGTCGCCCACACAATCGCCAGGCGTGGGACGCGAAGCACCGACCCCCGTTCCTGAAGGTCTTCGGACGGTTCGACCCGGAGGGGCTCGGGGAGATGCTGGCATCCGACGTGAGTGCGACGTCTGTTGCCTGAAATCTTTTACAACAAACAGCGTGGGGTACATACATTCGAACCGTGGGCGTAAACGTGAATGATGAGTGGGCATGCGTGCCTAGCGTCATAAATTGTATAGGGTAGGTCACAGTTGAGCACAGATCGTTTTTCACTTGTGACAGACATGCTCTCGGTCCTGGCAAAGTTACGGGTGGGATCGTCCAAAAATGCTACTCACTTCGCCCATGCTGATACGGATGATATTCACGGTTGGTGTTCTGAAGACTCTCACAACCATGTTGTGAGACACTCCCAACGCCTCCGGTATGGGGAAGACCTTTGTCGTTAATCAAGGAATTGCAATTCCGTTTTCAATTTCGGCGCAACCACAGTTCATTGGGTATTTTGCCCCGCACTCCCCTCGTCGAGGTGGTGGAAACTAAACCTGGACATGTGATATCGACATGTTCCGGTAGCGCCTACTTGTGCCGGGCACGAGAACAGGGAAACTGTAGCGAGGTCGAGAGGACCGGTGCTGAGGTTGGTTGGCAAGCTTCGGTAGGAGCCAGTTGTGTACATCATAAGAGGAGGTCAACGATAAGAAATGCGCGAGTGAATGCAGTCACCGTTGAAAGCCATGAATCATGAATGCCCTATTGTTATTGCTTTTTGCTCCGGTCGGTCTGTCGTTTGGTCTCAATCGGGACAGATCGGAGATCTGATGGCGCAGCTGAGGCTCCCCGAGGCGGTCAGGCCGGAGGAGGTGAAAAACGTCGCCGCCCAGCTCACCAAGGTAACCATGACCATGCATTTTCTTTTCCAGTTTCCTCGAACCGAAATACACAAACAGGCGGACGCAGCTCATTTCAAGCTTGCCCAGCAACGTTGCTGCTATTCGGTCGATTTTGGAACAGCGGCGGGTGTTTCGGCTCTCGTCCTCTCGTAGGACACAGCAGGACTGAACAACGGATTGTGCTCGTTCTCGTATGGGATTTCTTCGTAGGAAAGGTTAGGGTTGTTCGGGGACAGCTGCAATTCATATTGTTTTTCGTGTCGAATTCTCAGATGGCTGACGAAGAACGAAAAGCGGGCCAGGCGGCAAGGGAGAGAGCGATCCGGCGCTCCGGGTTGGATCAAGGGACGCCCGCGCCTAGGCCGTTCACCACGGGAAGCGGTGAACAGACGGTCCGTCAAACTACGCGACAACGGTTGTTACGGTTGTCGTCGTGATCGTCGTGGTCGTCGCTTGTAGTTGCTGGTGTTGTCCTCGTTGTTGCCGTTGCTATCGCTACCGCAATAGATGCTTGCGAAACCTCTTCCTCTCTCTGTTGGTACCAACTACAACAGTTCTGTTTTGCTGCCAAACGGGACACACAGGACGACTGCATGATAAGCTTTTCCATTAGGCATTTTTTCTCTCCACAGGTATGCATGACACACCTCTGGAAGTGGCACCGTCGGGAGCACTTGCAATGGAGGCCCAGCTTCACGGCGCCGTCTCACAAGGAACTCCGGCAGCTCAACAACCGACAGCGGAAGCGGGAACGCTCGGGGGAGGTACACACAACACTTGTAGAGCTGCTCATTCTGGTGTTGCACACACCCATTCACGTTCGTTTTCTTCGTGTAGCCCAGATATCTCTGTTTGGTGGCACCCGATTGGGACCGACGAAGCGCTGTGTGAGTGGAAACTTCAATCACCTCGGGAACCACACGGGGGACACAGGTTGAAAGACGATCGCACTCAACCTCAAGAAGCAGAGGATCGTCCGTTCAGTTCAGCAGTGCAGTGCGCGAGACCTCGGGACAATAGTCAACGTCTGCTACAATTCATCCGTCCGAAAGAGGGCTGGGGTGGTCTTAATAACTTGTGTTTGATAACGTTTTGTGAAGACCACCACGAGGAAGATCAGGATGCCGAAAGAGGTGAAATGAACCAGTTCATCAGGCCTTCATCTACCCGTTCAAGCATCCACAATACCCCCCAGTTAACGCTCCAGTGTAACACACACCCAACCACTCAGCCACCTCATCCACCACCCTGAACTAGCTACTAAGGACAGCAGCGACGAAATCCAGGTCCTATGAGCCCCCCCCCTCGTCCTGCTGATGTCGAAAGGTATCTCGAGATTGGGCTCGTCGCGTGATTCTGGTGGTTGGCGAGAGGGAGGCTCGTCTGCAGGCAGCCGAGAGGTTCAGAGGCTTCCACCCGCCCCGCTTCGTCTGCCCCGAGTGTCACGAGTTCGGCTGCTCTACCGCGGACGCGCTGGACGAGCACCTTGGTGACGAACCGTGGCACGCCGTCAACGCTGCCCTCCAGGTAGGCCGAATTCTTTTGCACACCCTTCCTCTCCGGCGCACACTAGGACATCGATTGGGTGTGCTGGCGCTACGTGTTCCTGCTCCCTTTTTTCTCCCGGTGTGCACGGCCGCACTGCTGCGTGTCCGCGCCATGGCCTTCGTTTGGTGGCATGAGCGCAGCCATTCGTCCCGGTTGCCAGACATTTGAGTGTTGTTTCCACCTATACGCGGGCGTGCGCAGAGTTCGACGGGAGCGTTGACGAGGCGGAGGATTGTTGAACCCATCCCGCGAAATAATCACCAAAAAGACAGCACTAAAGGGTCGTTAATCTTCAGCAGCGCGTAGGCATTATTCCGAACGGTAGGTTGATACGTGGGCGAGGTAGCAGATGCAGTGACTCGAAAGAACAAAGAAAAAACCCACCGTAGGGTCCAAGCTCGATGGGGTGACAAGTGAGGAGATATACTTGATTTCCTACATAAGCCCAGCACCGTATCGGGACCTCTCCTAGGAACGATTCGAGGAGAACGCCGACATCGTTGCGGTGGCGAGGCGGGCCGGCGGGTCGGACAGCTTCCCGGAATACTTCCACGTGGCGAGGGAAATGCCGGAGGAGACCGAGCTACAAGTTCACGAGGACGCGGTAACGACGAATGAATGCCGGTGTACAGTTTGATGTTGTTGTTCGTTCGATATTTCCCCCTGTTGTCCTGTTCATCACATGACGAGCTCATACCTGCATCTTATTAGTACCTCCATTCCGAAGTTCGATCGCATCAGGCAGAACGAAAGGCAACCTCAATGGAATCCCCCCCCGCCCTCTCTTGCATAACCGGCTCCGTCCCGGACTCTTCCAAGGACGCTAGGGATTGTAATGGACCAGAGCATCTGCAATTGTTTTCGGCCGATCCTCATATGCCCCCTGTCCTTCGTTCATCTGCGTAACCATCCTAACCCCCTCTCTCTCTGCTGTATCGCTTTTCTCGGTCCCTCAGAACGAGATTTCCCGGCCTCTAGGAACAATCACGTATGATATGCTAGTGCTTGCTCTGGGCGAGGAAGGGGATTGGTTGAAGGTATATTCTTTTCGTTGGAAACGTGTTTAGCACTCGCTAACACGTAAAAGTCATCGGTTGGTGGCGAGTACTTGAAAGTAGATGCTTTTCCCAGGCTGATGCGACGCGGGGCTTTGGGGAGAGTTTTTGGATGGAGGTCCTACTATTCTGTGGTTTAGCCACATCGAAACAGCCCTCTGATACGAGGAAGGCCGACGGTCGTACAGTTTACGTTGATCAAGTGCATGGCGGCATTCATGGCTTGATATGGGGGTGGAAGACGTGTCCATGTCGTCGTCGAGACCTATGACAAGGTGCAGACCCAGAAAACATTAAAGTCTAGTTTTCACCCGCAGTGGCAGCGACGGCAGCGAAACAAAAAACGATGAACAACAACAACAACGATCAATTAAGACAACCGCGATGGTGACCACGCAGATCAACTTCAAGTCCCACCGAGGGGTCTACGTCAAGCACACCATGGCTGACACCAAGAAGGGGTCAAGGCGGCGCCGCGTCGTCATGACACGCATGACCCTCCCCGCCGCCCGGTCGGCCGCGAAGATCGCCGCGTCTACTGCCCATCTCTCCGCCACCGCCAGCGGCGGCGGCGTCGGCACGTTGGCCTCGTCCCTTGCCCGACCGGTGACCCTGGCGTCTTCGGGGCTGTCGACGCTTGGGCACGCCGCGGCGACGGGCCTGCAAGCCCTAGCGTACACTCTGCACCACGGTGAGGAGCCCCACGGGCTAAACGATGCTCCGTCGCAGAAAACCATGGCTTGTAGACGAAACAACGAATGCGTTGCGACCACAAAGAGGGCGACTTGCGACCAAGCGGCGGATGGCTGTTTCATCCTCGTCGCGGGTCATTGCGTGCAGGACTAGACGCAAGGGCAGCAGGAGGAGCGGTGCGTTGCGGAGGGGCGAACGGGTACATTAGATGTCCCGCATTTTGTCAGAACAACGGCGCGAAGACGTGACAGAGCGAGCAAGTTGGTTCCCCCGTGGTGGTCTCAGGTTCTTTGTGCAACGTCGACAGCGAGCGCGCTCGCAACAAGTCGAAAAACGAATGAAAAGCATAAAGATAATCTCGACAAGGCCAGCAGCAGTCAACTACGGTTCCGCCATTAGGAAAACCCTGCATGTCCGCGCGCATCTTCTGTGCGCTCGACCCATCACCCTCCAGAGAGTGTCCAACCCACCGCTCCCCTGCATGACTCGCAACCCATCCTCTACACCCCGCCCGCAGGCGGGGCCCGCCCTCCACTCCGCGAGCCGGAGGCGTTGGCCCCAGGGACTGCGGTTTTCAAGCCCCGGGTGGTTCGGTTCCTTCTCCCTCGAGTCTATTGTCACGCCGCGGGACTTCCGGCAGGAACGATGCTTAAAGTTCGAACGGAACCCGGCGGCGCCGAAGGGGAACGCGGGGGTTGGGGAATCCACGGGGGAGAAGAGACCGGTGACCGGGGGGGGCATGTATTGGGCAGGATCGGCGCCGATCAGTGCGTGATAGCGCATGCGACCTCCGGGGATTGGCTACAGGTGAGCCGCGGAGCGCGAAAGCGCGACCTTTTTTCCCTTCGTCCCAGGAGGGAAAAATAAGGTGCTTTAAATATCGGCCTGCTCCAAACTCGACGCAGAGGGCCCCCCAAGCTTGATTTCCGGGAACCCTGAATTACCCTCCCTCTCGACCCAACCAAGACTCTGTAGGGCGCCCTGTTGCCCTCTGAGGAACAAGAAAAATAGAGCACTAATCGTCACAGCGCTTTGGTCGTGCTCCTGGAATGAAGGGTTCGCACAGACGTGCGTGACCGTACGCCGTAGAAGATGAAGCAGGCCAAGGCCTTGAACAGGAACGTGTGGCCGTAGCCTGTAACCCGTAAGCCAACCTTGCACCCCTACAAACAGAGCGAGGAGAACGGGCCACTCCAGGTATTCACCGACCAGGCTGGGATGCAGAGAGAGAGAGAGATGTTGTATTGGGAGTGGCCATTTACTTTGCTTGGATTTGTCTTTTGGCAGCTCCCTGCTCACCGCCCCTACTCCTTCGGAAGCCACCAATCTTCGAGGGGCACTGGTGTTCGAGTGTTGCCACGTTCTGGGCGAAAATGGTTCGCCCATCCGATGAGGTCAACATCGGAACGAGGACCATTTTTCACGTTTTCTTCTTAGAGCCCTGCCCCCACCGGCACTGGAAGTTTTTGTGGTAGTTCGGGGGCTTGACTTGGTGTTTTTGTCCGCAGCGGGAACGGCATCGCAAGCGACACGCAACCCTTTTGTGGACGAAGATATGGCTCATAATCAAAGGAGCAATGCATCCAATCCTTCTGATGATAATATAGCTTCCGATACACGACTGACGTAACATAGCCCGCCGATCAGCCATCCTTGTTCGGACAATATGTCTTGGTGGCAAGCACTACCCACATGCTCTCAACCACCTGCACAAACATCTCCCACAATATGTCGTGGTGGCAAGCACTACCCACATGCTCTCAACAACCTGCACAACCATCCCCCACCCCCGCAGACCCGGTATGCCAGCCCACCCCCTGTACAGTTTATCATTTACGACCCACACCCCTTCCAGGTCCAATATAAGAACTACGAGGCGGCTTGGATGCTGAAATCTTACCGAGGAAGGAAACTGTTGGCCCCCTTTCCAGACGTCCACCCGGGAATTGAAATCCTTGTGGAGGCGACCAGTAGGAACGATGGATTTCGCTATAGGGCTATTGCCAACGGGGGCGCGGACAGGGTGAGGGATAGTCCTTTCCCAATGCCGCTCGAGGTGTCGGAGAGACAGGAGGAGGAGCGGGTCAAGGCAGCGGCTGACACTACGGCGCTCACTGAGCTTGCAGGGAAGACGACGACCGTTTTGGATGAGGGGACGATTTACGGGTAGAGGGATAACCATTGTGGGAGGATGGCACAACCGCCGGTTGATGGGGGTGGGGGCGCTTGTGCCCGCGCGGCGCAGGGTGGCTGGCGGCTTTAAGGTAGAGGATGGCATTTACAGGGTATGCAGGGCACCGTACGTCGGATACCGGAAGAATAACAACAATGTTATTTTAATGCGGGGGAGAGAGTGAAGGCAAAACCCGGTGGGTGTGGTAGAGCAGATGGTGTAAGCAATCAAAGCAGATTTGGGTAAGGATGGAAAAATGTATGGTAATCTTTGCTGCCAGAAATTACAGTGGGCTGGGAAGACCGGTGTGCACGCAAAACGGCGCGTACATACACACGGTACGCACGCGGGAGCCAACGGGCCACGTGGATGTGTGACCGAAAACACGCCAACCCCAAACACGCGACTAAACATACAACCCATAGACTAGACTATATTGCAAAGTATCGAATACCTAAGGTGCGAGCGAGCCTCGTCCACCATTCGCAGGAACATCTCGTAGATCGAAACACACTGTGTACCAGAACAAGAAGAGAGGACCAAAATATGCCTGCTTCAGCTCTTTGGGTTTCCTCACCATGTGATGAAAGAATACATAGTTGGAGATGGCCTGTCATGGTGCGTTAACATGGGATTATGACGGGATCAGACCGTCAAACGTCATGATCGAGATGCTTGAAGTTTTCCGCATCTTGTTTCCATCTGAATCCGTGGTGCGTGTGAGCTGGTTTGGGAAATTTTTTTTGCACCCATATAGACGCAAATCTTAGATGCACCCAGCTTGTAACTAGGTTCTGAATTCGGCTCTCTTTTTCGCGCGCGTGTGTTTGGGTGTATCTTTATTATTGGCATCGACCGCGCTAACCGGCTGACCAATGGAAAGACGTCAGTCTTAGTGCGGTTGAGAAGTGTGTGGATTTGTGTCTTTATGTGTGTGTGTGCTCTGTGTGTGGTGTGTGATGCCGTTGTGTGCCGTTGGATGGCGTCTAGTAGTTTGTGCCGTTGCTCCCACGTATGCATGTGCTTGCTGGATACATATGCACATAGGCACAACGAAGGTTAGAGAGGGCGAGAGAGCAACCATGCAACAGCAAAAAAAAAACAAGGGTTAGGGTTACGCGCACACGCTGCCGGCACTGAAACCAAGAAAGACCATGCATAGAACGTAAGCAAAACAGATGAGCACACTTACAACAAAACACGATCCCGCTGGCCCCTGGCCCACGAGGGTAAATATTAAATAAACGACAGAAACAAACATCCCACGCAGAATACACACAAAAACCCGTATATTTGTACAAAACTCATGGTGAAAAAAAGAGGGGAAGATATACAGCTATTGACGCCACACCGTACGGCATATATGTATTACATCTGCCAGAAGGCAATCAGCCCAACAGCACGTGAAAAACAAATTCGTGCAACACCGTACACCGTACAAGAACACCAAAATACTTAGCCCGAAAGCAGCAACATTTGAAAATCCATCCCCTCTTTACCACACCTTAAATAGCCCCTTGCTCCGACCTGAGGCACCAGATTCTGTACTTGATTTTTTACGTTTTTGCTGTGCTCTGAGTGGAGCCCTCGGGGAAGCTCGTACCATGGACGTTTCGGCAAAAAGCGGTAGCTCGGCGGGCGCTAAACGACGACCGCTCCCACTTATTTCGTGGGAAGGAAAGCCAACCTCTCCGATGCCTCCCCCGTACGCACTTCTATCTTCCACTCCACCACTAACTAACTGCTGTGCAACGGACGGTCGAGCCGCACTCTCTGCGTAGCAAGCTGGGAAATACCCAGGATCCGCGCTACGTCTAGATTCATCGCCAGTCCCTCCCCCAACCCTCATCCCGGAGTCCACCCATGAGCCGCCGTATCCCTCCCCTCCTACCCCATGGCCCGCCCGAGACCCCACCCCCGTCCTAAGAGTCCACCCATGAGCCACCGTATTGCTCCCGCTCTGAAAAGGGTAGCGACGCTTGCATTGCTGGAAGCACCCCCCGTAACGTCCGTCCTCCCCGGCCCTCCCCCTGACGGCCGCTCTCCGTTCCTGCGTTCGACGCCCACTGTTGGAGAGGGAGAGAGCGGATTTGCGAACGGCGTTCCACGTCTGCACACCGCGACGAGAGCAGGCCGCCCCCACCCGCGGCCGTGAGGTGATCGGCACGCACTTCTTCGGCGGCGCCCTCCCCCGCTGCTTCACACGGTCGATGGCCACCTTCCACCACCCGATCGTCCACACCAGAAGCCTGTCCCTGTCCCTGGCCCCGGCCCCGGCCCCGACCCCCTCCCTCCGCTGCGACACGCCCCCCACGACCCCGCCCCCGCCCAGTCGATCGTCCACCGCGGCCCCGACCTGCCACCGCTGCCCCTCCCCCGTCTACGGCACCGCTGCCGGCGGGTGAGCTGGGGTCCACTGCCTGACGACGGGTGCCTGAAAATGTGATGGTCGTGGTGCCACCGGCAGTCTTGGCCGACTCAAGCTCGCTCTTGAGGGTGAGGTCAAAAATCGCCTTCATCTGCCGCATGAGACGTTCATTCCCGGGGATGCTGAGCCCCGACGACGACGCCTGTTGCCCCCACTCCTTTCCCAAAGCGACCCAGTCGGCGTGGATGACATTGCTCGCGGCAGCCTTTATCTTGGTCACACGCTCCCGCTCCGCAACAATGCCAGCTGCCGCGTCGTCTGCGCCCTCCGTACACGGCTCCTCCCGTATCGTCTTCCTGGCGATGGAGGCCATGCTCCAAGGCCTCTCATCTTCCCGCCACCTCGGGTGAAGACACGCCGGGTCAAACTCCCAGCCGCCCTTCGCGAAGAAATCCGCCAGCACTGCCAGGAAATGCCGGCAGAAGCGGCCGGTGCGGAGCAGGTGGAGGCAAGAACAAAGGTAAAAGCCCCCTGGCCCCGTCACGACGAGATGGGCTCGCCCATCCGCACCGCCCGAACGAAAGGATATCTTGTACACTTAGGTGATGTCCTGCCTGTGCAGCAAAGCGCAAAAGGCGGGGAGAGATGTCCGAGCGTACATGGTGGCATCGTCGCCACCGTTGTCGTCGATATTTGGCAAGTCCCTCGAATCCGGAGCGGTGGCGAAACGCACG